GCCGCAAGTAATGCAGCGGTCCTCCGTGACAGGGAAGCCGGGGTGGGCAAAATGACAACTAATGCCGCGCTGGCAGACGCCACGCTCTGTCCAGGACCTGCAGGGGCTGGCCCAGCTAGAAGTCGTGGAAGAGTAGCGAACGGCAGCGGCATTCCCAGTAGTCGGTGTTTGTTGCGTCGGTTGCGCCGCTGTTTGCCGGAGAGCGGCGGCACGTTTCTTTTCCGTCTCCTTGATCTGGTGCTGGCGCGCCTTCTGGTTGTCAGTGAGAGGTAGTCCGGTGTTCAAACCAACGCCCCCATGAAGAACCAACGCTCCCAGCTCCGCCTCGGCGAAAGCAGCGACGTGTTCTATCGCCTGCAGGGTAATCACGTGAGGCAGACCAAATTGATTGCGAAGATTAACCCATCTATGGTGGAGCTGCGGTTCGGCTTTGTCGAATACAGCACAAAAGATAGATTCCATCGCTCTGTAAGCCAGAAGAAGATCTGGAGGGTAGCAGCCCAGCTCGGCACACCTCCGGAGATTCTCCTTCCACTTCAAAAGCTCCACCTGGGCCGCGCGCGGCTGTGAGCACACGCTCGGGTTCAGCACTGAGTTGATCAGATGAACCTTCTCGCCCGCACCGCCAGGGGAGAAAGTCTTCATCACGTAGAAGAGAAGAACGTGTGATGGGTCCACCTTGCCTTGGCGGGCCCTCAAGTTTACCCAATCGCGGATGTCCTTCGGCAGCGCGTCGAGTATGCGTGGCCTGATCCACGCTTCCACCTGCAACCATGCCTCCGGCATTGGAGCAGTAGGGAGAACCGCCTCCCGCTGGTGAATCGGCATCTTAAGAAACATCTTATATGCCTTCTCGGCCTCGCGCTGGCACCACTTCCACCACTGGATCAAGTGCGGGCCAGCCGGGTTTATGGCCTGGTCGACAGAAATCCGCCAACTCAGAAGTCTACCTGCTCTGGAAGAAGAATCGCCCATCTCTAGCTTGGGAAACTCTGGCACGAACACCTGAATAGACTTCATCAACATATTCAGCTCCGCCGGGCTCAAAGACTGCGGGGGCGCATCCCCGTCAAGAAGCTCAGGTGGAGTCGGCGCCAGTCCTCCGAGTGCTCCCAGAGGCGGCGCTCCACAACTCGCGCTCTGCGGCTGCCGTGCAGATGGGCCCTCTGCCCCGGCTGCTGCGTGGCCCCCCAGGGACCGCGCGGGCTGTGCACCTCCCAGGAAAGAAAACACGTCACTGTCGTTAGTGTTCGGAGGAATCGTCTGTGGCGTAACGGCGACCAGCGAAAGTGGCTGCGCGTATGGAGCAACGCTCCCGCTTACGAAATTCTCCTGGTTGACACTGACCTCCGTGCCGCGGGGGTTCACAGGCAGACGACTGGCCAACGCTCCGCTGCGCGATGCGCCTGCGCCTCGGGAGAGGATGCCCTGGTCGTCGGTGATACCTTGCTGAATCAGTCCTGGTGGTACTTGTTGTTCCTGCCCAGGAACATCGGGTCGTGGCCACAACCCTGGGTCCCCAGACGTCGTCGTAAGGTTCGCCTCCCTCCTGGGTAAGCTCGCCGTCGCGCAGCCGCCGTCCAGCAGCGGGAGCCTCGCCGTAGGTGCGGTGGATGGCTGCGGTGGCAGCTCCTGCGGCTGCCGGGCCCCCTGGCCCTCTGTAATGGCCAACAAGTCGTCGGCCACGTTTCCTGCCCCAAAAATCGGGCTCTGATCCCTCGCCGGCGCGTCGAACCACTCGGCGCTCGGATCGGGATCGCTGCGCCGGCCTGCCGCGCTGCGCGGCGTGCCGCTGGCACTCAGCTGGTAGTACTCTGCTTGGTGTGGTGCGGTGTTGCTGTCGGGGAGCTCGTCCTGAACCTGAACAGACTGCCAGAAAACCCATTCGAACTCTACCTGCTCTACTCTGCCACTGAGACGTTCGACCGACTCTTGAAGGTTCTTCACTGTAGTCGACAAGCCCTCCACCACCGACGTCAAACTCTGGATCGCGTCGCTGAGCTCGTTGCCGTTCTGCGGGGCAGAAGCAGAAGCCCGGCCAAGCCCATCGGAAGGAAACCCTCCCGACGAAACCTGGCCGGGGGCCCTATCGGAAGGTTTCCCTCCCGACCGGTCCCCAGGTCCATCGGAAGGAGGCCCTCCCGACGGATCCAGGCCAGGGGGCCTATCGGAAGGCTTCCCTCCCGACTGGTCCCCAGTCGTCGGTGCTGCGGTGCCGTCGTAGGCACTGTTGTAAGAGCTCGGCGGCGTGAGTTTCGTGGCGTCGTCTGCGGCCTTGTCGTCCAAGGTCTGTGCCTCGGTTGGTTCCTGCAGGGCTGGTAGTGGTTGAGCTGGCTCTGGCGCTGGCGCTTCCTGTCGGCGGTAGAACGAGCTTCCAGGGAAACCCACGCAGTCTCCGGAGCGAAGGTGGCGGGCGTGGCCTAAGTTGGCCGTGTGGCACGCCAAGCAGTGGCCACCAGCGGCGCCGGCGGCGCGGTCGAAGGACTGGGCCCGCCTGGCGGCTCTCTTCGGCCTGAGAAGCTCGCGGCTGGTAAGCTGTCCAGAAGCAGTGGTTGGCTCTGCTGGCGGCTCGGGGGCTGGCAAAGCCAGTGGCTCTGAAGAAGTAGCTCCTTCCCTAACCCCTTGCACTACTCCACGCACCAGCGAAAGCGCTGCACCAGTAGCGGTCGCCGCTGCACCTCCGATTGCCACTCCTACAGAAGCTGACAGACCAAGTGCTTCTGTGGCCCGCCCTCGCCAGGTAGTAAGTTGCTCAGCCAGAAAACGTGTCCACTGTTCCCGTCGTAGACCATTTTCATACGAAGCGTACTGTTGTGTGACTCCGGCCATACATGTACCACAGAACGGGTACCCCTGGAAGTACTCGAGGTTGATACATTGTGGGTGGCCGAACACGCCGCACTGCGTGCACAGCGCAGGTTCGTACACTTGTACATGGCATCGTTGACAGCTCGCGTGTACACCAACCAATAATCCTTCATTCGGCGTTGGGCTCATAACCCTTGTCACTGCTACTAGGGGTAAATTTTCTGACATGACGATCGCAGTGGAACGAATAGAAGGATGAAAGGCGAGTACCTTTTCCAGTCAGTGTGCGCTCGGCTTGAGCCAGAGCGGTTGCAGTAGCAGCTGGCGCGC